TGGCTCGAGAATCGTCCGTTCAATGTAAAAAGGGCACTTGATCGAACAGAGAGACGTAAACGCGATGCTATCGCGACGGGGAGGAAATAAATTCGTTCGAAATACAACCGGCCTCGTTTTCGATTTGCGTGCGGCTCTGTACGTATCAGCTTCGTTTTTCGCTCGCATCGTTTCCGTAACACGCGACTGTCGAATCTCTCTCGAACCAACGAACGACGCTCGATCGAGGAATGTACAGGGTCTGTTCCTTTCAAGCGATCGATATATCGAATAAAACGACCGTACTTCTTACTCGTTAACCGTCGTGGGAAGTTACCGTAATTTATATCCGATCTGTTTCTCCGAAATTAACGATCTTTGTTAAGTACTCTGTTATACTAGATAGTAGTTTTTTTTTTTTTTTTTTTTTTTCTTTCTTCCTATATTATCAACGTCGCGCAATTCTCTCCGTCGTTTGGCTGCCATCATCCTTCACCCATTATTTATACAGGGTTTCTTTGTTTGCAGTAGTAGACGATAGCAGGAGGGAAAAGATTAATAATGGCGAGACTCAAATGATTCGCCCGGCGCAATGGAAATCCAAACGAAAGGATTATCGAGCAGCATATCGTATAAACTTCGTCGTGGTTTTACCAATTGCTACAACAAAGAACACGAAACAACTTTTATTATCCATCCATACATTCCCAACGATGCTTCGCCCCAGTCGTCACCTGACCGTGTACCTCCTATCGGAAAGCATTCAGCGGCTCGAGAAACAACACGTCGAACGATGTTTGTTCACACGTGACTGGTCTGCGAGCGACAAAAGTGTCACACGGAGCTCTCCCTTTTGGCCATCACGATCGGTGTGCTAATCTTGCCGTCTTTCTGCGACTGGATGCAACACTGCGCCGGGATCCTCGCCTCCACGTCCTTGGTTAACAAGGTGCCGCTTGGACAAGTCCTGCTGACGACACCAAGGCCAGTGTAGAGCATCGGTGGGCTCATCGTCATCGACATTGATTGAACGCTTTGGCTTGGCCAGTGTTGCCTCGGCAAAGTGCAAACGCCGCTTTGATAGTCGTCGCCCACTATCGGCTGAAACTGTAGTTCACGCATGGTGGGTGATCGATGTCTTTTGAATGTTTTAGTTAGAAGTTGTCATTAAGAATGGATTGGGTAGTAATCGTTTTACTGCGCTGTCATTTGTAACGAAGTCGATCGCCAGAGTTAATCGTGGACGGTGAGACAATCGTAGAGAATCGAAGCCATTATTCTATATGCGAGAAAGTGTGAACCAAAACAATAGTAATAAAATATTCTCGTTGGGAGTAGTAAGATATTTTTGAGTTTGAAAGCTCGTGAACTCAACTAATTCCTGTCTAAATGTGAATGAAGAGATAGAACGAAAGTTGTG